TCTTTGTTTCCAATGCCTTTGGGAATTGTTTGTTCTTTGCCATCCAAAAAATTCTCAGAGAGAGGAGCTGGCTGGACCATTCCCATACCCTCACCCTGTCCCCTCCTTAATGTTGTCCTGCATCACCTGAGCACCACAGGGTGCAATCATCCACCCTCCCCCTCATAATCCCCCCCTCCACAAAATACAAAAAGTTTCTGAAAATAACTCTTTTTTTTTTTTGCCTTTTTGTGTCTCACCCAGCAATGCTTAAGGTTACTCCTGGCTGTGCGCTCAGGAATTACTCCTGGCGGTGCTTGGGGGACCATATATGGGGTCCCGGGGATTGAACCTAGGTCAATGCATACAAGGCAAGCAAACGCCCTCCCCGCTGTACTATTGCTCCAGCCCCTGAAAGTAACTCTTAAAGGGTCCTTACAATATGAAAATATATTTAGTAAAATAATTGTCCCTTTGAATGGAAGTTATTTGTATATTATTAATATGCTCTTAATAAGTTGCAAAGAAAGGGTTTTAATTTACCTTTAATGTAATCTATCTAGGAAACAAAGATGGCATCACTGTCACTGTCCTCCTGTTGTTCATCGATTTTCTCGAGCGGGCCCAGTAACATCTCCATTGTGATACTTTTATTGTTACTGTGTTTGGCATATCGAATACGTCACAGGTAGCTTGCCAGGCTTTGCTGTGTGGGCGAGATACACTTGGTAGCTTGCCGGGCTCTCTAAAAGGGGCAGAGGAGTCGAACTCGGGTCAGACATGTTGGCGGCGTCCAAGGCAAATGCCCTACCCACTGTGCTATCGCTCCAGCCCAAAGATGGCATATCTTAAGAAAACATTTAGTGTGCTTCAAGTTGTCTGTATCATGTATTTATCTAGAAAAAAGGGAAGTTTATTTATTGAAAGAAGTAAAAATATTTTTTGTGTATATGCATTTTGTTTTTTTGTCACACCAGACCATGCAGGCTTATTCCTGGCAGAGCTCAGGGGACCGTATGGGATACAGGGGATTGAACCTAGGTCAATGCATGCAAGGCAAGCACCCTACTTGCTGTATATCTGTAGTTCCAGAGCCAAGATTTTTCAAAAACCATACAATTTTCTTGGGGTTGGAACAATAACACAGTAGGTAGGGTGTTTGCCTTGCACGTGGCTGACCCAGCTTTGATCCCTGGTCCCCTATGTGGTGTCCCAGGCCCATCAGGTGTGATCCCTGAGTGCAGAGCCAGGCATAAACCCTGAGCACTGCCAGGTGTAGCCCCCAAACCAAACCAAAACAACAGCAGCAACAAAACAAAATGAAACAAAACACATACTAGAATTTCTATATGTGCCTTTGAGCTTTATTAATTCATGGTTTTAAATTTGATTCATTTATTTATTTGACTACATCCAGTGATGCTCAGGACTCCTGCACTCAGGGATCATTCTTGGAGGACTTGGGGGATCATATGGGGTGCTGGGTATCAAAACCAGGTCAGCTGCATGCAAGGCACACAACTTACCCATTGTACTATCATCTTGGCCCCTAAAATTTGTTAATTTAAATTGATTTAATGGATGCTAAGAAGTTTGACCTTTAGTGACATGTAGTCTAATTAGGTATTTTAAACATTTTGATATTCTTGACAAACTTCCTCCAAATAAAATTTTATTTGATTTTAATTTGCATTTTTGAGGTGGGGTCATACTTGGTTATGCTCAGGGGTTACTCCTGCCTCTGTGCTCAGAAGAGCTCTCTGGAAATGGTGGAGGACAATATGCCATATGTGGTGCCAGGGATTTGAACCAAGCATCTTAGCCCCAGTACTCTCTCTAGGCATGTCCAAAATCAAATTTTAAATGAAGCTTTTTCTGACCTCTGAACCACCTTTGGAATTTCCTAAAGGATTCCTAGAACAGCTCAAAAAATTTATTCTGTCTCATTAAAGTAAAGAGATATTAAACTTCCTAGATGCAGCTGATGTGTTATATTTACATGGGAAGCAATGTCAGATAATAAGTGATGGTAAATTTTCTTTAGCTATATTTGTGTAAATATATGCCTTTTTATTTTTTTGCTGTTTGGGTCACACCCAGTGATGCACAGGGGCTACTCCCGGCTCATGCACTCAGGAATTACCCCTGACAGTGCTCAGGGGACCATATGGGATGCTGGGAATCGAACCTGGGTCGGCCGCATGCACAGCAAATGCCCTACCCACTGTGCTATCACTCCAGCCCCTATATATGCCTTTTTAATATGTGTTCTAGAAATAGTATAAAATTCCTAAGTCTTAACAATTTTCGTATATCAGTGATGATTCTAGTTATCATTTTTAAAATGTGCACCACAGAAATATCCAAATTTCCTAATAAACTGCATTATAGTAAGCTCTCATCAGGCTTTTTAAACAGTCATTTAAAAGTCTTTTATAATTTAGTTATTATTTTACTGTAATTCTCTTGCCAAAGTGTTCCTGCAAAGTGCTTCATCTTCAAGGAGATTTATGACAAAGACTTTGACAAATACATGTTTCTGATAACTCTAGTATCATAATATTGAACTGGGTAAGAATTTCTAAAAACTGTATGGAAAATTGATTTATAAACCTGCCCAAGGTAATGCAAAACAAAAATTAATTACACGAGACTGAATTGGAACTTATGAAAAGGATTATACTTTTATGGTTTCATTTCAAACACTGCTGGTTGTTAAATATTTTGTTTTCCATATTTAAAAGACCCTTTTTTTTACTGCCACCCTTTTACTGCCACCCTTTTACACTACAGCAATTTGGTGACATGTACTTTTTTTTTGTTTGGCTTTTTGGGTCACACCCGGCAATGCTCAGGGCTTACCCCTGGATTTGCAATCAGGATTTAGTCCTGTCATTGCTCGAAGGATCATATGGGATGCTGGGAATCGGGCCCAGGTCTACTGCATGTGAGGCAAACGCTCTGCCCACTATAAAATTGCTCCAGCCCCCTACTTTTATAAACAAAATTTTAAGTATTGGTCTCCCTACCTGATCCAGTTGTCTTTGAGATTTTATCTACTGGGTAAGTTCAGAAACATCATCATGTATGCACAGTCTCTTTTGCTCTGTGTCTACTCATGAGAGTTCAAAAGAACTCCTGATCACATGGTCAAAGATAAACCAACCAGGAAAATACATCAGAATAAGGTGCTGTCCTCTCCACCTTCTGGTGATACTTCAAAGTCAAATCTAGAAATCCTCTCAACTAGCTGCTCTCTAAACTTAGAGGCTGAACTTAAAATATTTTAAACTATAAGTCTTGATTTCCTTCTGTTTTCACAGACAATCCTCTCAGTAAATTATCCCATTGCTCACATCATAAAAGGGCTTTAATATGGACGCTTACCTCCTCCTAAATAACCTAATTGTTCATCTTGTCCTAAGTAATCATTGAGGATATGTGATTAATTATAAATCATACTGTACTTATTTCGATAACTGATAAATTTGAAGTCTGATTGCATATTATCAAAATTTTGTAGGCTGACTTAAAAATGTAAAAGCCTGAACCTGATTATTACTGATTTGCTTTGTTTAATCTGTTAAATCTTGGCTTCTGTAAATATTTCATTCCTTGGCTTTTGGTTCAGTAAATATTTCATTACTTGGCTTTTTTCCTTATAGTTGTCAAATAACCTTCTCCAATGCATTGTATACTTTTGAGGGCTTTAAATGTCGTTAACAACCACCCATACACCAAATAGTATTCGCCAGTATCAGGGAACTAGATAAAATTAACAATAACCACGTAAACGACAAAGGCGACTACAGGTCCTTGATGACGGAATTAGTGGAAAAAATAAATACAGGTTTTTTTCACCTGAGTACCAGCAGAAGAAACCAAAAATGATGTCACAGTGGTTAGTCATGCACTCAACCCAATAAGTGTATGACTAAAAGCTGGGAATCATTAAAACCAAAAACAAAGAAAGGCCAGCCTTGAAAATTTGCCAAGTACGCAGACGCACTTTAGTCATACAAACAGCAATTTAGCTTATTTTGAAAGACTGTTATGACCTGTGTCGTACCTTGCTTCTTTCTCTGAAGCTCATAAGCACAATTTAAACTGTTTACAAAAATTGATCTGAGGTAACTGCTGACCAATTCTCTATAATTTAAGCTGCTTTTAAAAAATACCGCGGGACTTCATTCTGTGTTTAAGTGTTCCTGTTTTATGAAATGTCTTTTTGGTACGTACTCAATAAACTTACTAATTACTGCTTCCATGATTCGTTGGTTTCATTGCTGTTATTTCTAAAATTTTGGCAAGTGGTGAGGCTTGGTCTTTCAGAAAAATCAGACTGATACATAGGAAGTACATATATTCTCTCACTATATACGCCTCTGTGTGGGTCCACGTGAATATTCATTCTAAATACTTTAGGTATAAAGAGGTAAGAAATCCTTTTTTTAAATTTAAAACGAGGATTAAGACCATAAAAACTGTTACACTCCATAAACCAGTGTTAGGTAACCTTGAAACAGCAAGACCTCCCCTCTCAGAAACCAGGGTTAAACCGTCAGGTATCAGATGATAGTTCAGGGAGAACCTGGATGGGCCGTTGGCTGAGGATCTGCCTTATTCCAGCCTGGGAGTAGGGAGCAGCCTTAGCTGTAAGGGAATTAGCCCAGAGCTGAGCTCCAGTGTGTCTTCCCATCAGCCAAGAGGCTGGTACCTGCTTGAATCAAAGGCGGGACCCTGATTCCCACAGCCCCACCAGGAGTTAAGCCCTGCCTGAGCACTGCCCAGTGGGGGACAAGAAACAAGACCCAAATGATTCCCCCAAGCAAAACCAAAATGAAATACTTAAAACAAGTAAGGAGCCTGAGAAAGGGCCAAAGCAACTCCAAGTCAGAACAGAGGGAACCTCAGCCCCCACTGGCCCCTGTGCTGTCCATCTTGACAGAGCCCGGAAGACCCGCCCAATATGGCGGCCTTTCCTTTCTGCTCAATATGGCGGCCTTTCCTTTCCGCCCAATATGGCGGCCTTTCATTTCCGCTGGGGCAAAGGTGGCAGCTTAAGGTGGGGATTGACGGAGCGGATGCCGTTGATCTGAAGGGGCCGGAGGCACGTCCTCGGAGGGAGGGCAAAGCGCCCGTCTGTGAGCACACCGCGAGCATCTGAGGGAGAAGAACCCAGACCGGAAGCTTGGGAGCCCTGACTGCAGCGGGCGGAAGTGGCTCTCTCTGACTTCCGCTTCGGGTTCTTAACCGCCTCGTCGGAGGCAGCAGACGAGACTCCACGCCGCTGCCCACCCTGAAGGTAAGTATGGAACTGGGGAGGGGGGGCATAGTAGTCGTGCTGAACCCCTCCCCAAAGCCCACCCCTCCTGTCACTTCAGGAAAGTTCTGGAGTGCCGTTTCCACTAAGGCATTCTGTCCGTTGGCTCTGAGAAGCCCGAGGGAGGTAGAGGCCCAACTGAAAGGATGTGGAATAAGGCCCTAAGAGGGGACGTGCTCGGGCACTACCCGGAGGCACGGTGAGAGAGAAATAACTGTGTGGGGGGGGACATCTACTCAAGAACACTTGAGTGCCTCACCAAAAGCCACTTTGCCTGAGCTTTCATTTTCTGATTCTGAGAGACTCCAGGCAGGGCTGTCTGACGAAGCATACCCTCCGTTTGGCTAGGAGTCTCTGGGAGTCTTGAATTGAAGGGGCCTCCCTCAAACTAACAGGAGGAGGAGCGTCAGACTCTGTGACTCGTTTTATCTGGGGGGGGGCGACTAAGGGGATCTTAAGCTCTGGAAAATAAGAAGCTTCACCACCACCCCCCCACCCCCCCACCCCCGTTCGTGCTGTCCTCTGTCTTTGGACATCCTGGGTATATGGATTATCAAAGATTGTGTACCGTTATTTCTGTTTTGAGGCTCTCAGAGATTGGCTGGAAATATCTGGAATTGGCTGGAAAGGGGAAGAATCAGGTCAGTAGAAGGGTTTGCCACAGCCTATGCCAGCAATCAAATTACGACCCCCTGGTGAGGACTGAAAACCTGTGTGCCCCAGAAAGAGAAGAAGCTCACAGATTCTGCCTGTTGCCTTCTGCCTCACAAGGAAGATTCCAGTAAGAGTGTCATCAACTTCTGCCTCAAGGTAAAGTTGAGGAAGGGTCACAGAGAGGTTCAGCATTTATTTAATGGGAGGAGGTTAGATTAATTCCGAGAAGTACACCAGGCGCTGCAGGAGTAAGCAAGAGGGAAGAGATTCCTCCCCCACAGAACTAAGGTGACTCATTCCCTGCACATCTCTGCTGCCTGGGAGGGCTGGCTAGCAGGGCAGAAGGGCACAGATGTAGTTTGCTTCCTCCCTTTTATTCTGCCTGGAGACTCAGAGCCATGAGGACCTATTGAAGGAAAATGTTAGTACAGCAGAGGATGGATTCCCAGGTTTTGCTCATAATGTAGATAGAGAATTCAAGAAAGGATTGACAATATCTTCTACCAGAACACAGAGGAAGAGCCAAAGAATTTTTGCTTGCCTCACTGGTAGAACCTGGGGGATTTCAGTCTGAAATGCTCCTTCATTTATCGGTTAGTAATTCCAGGGAGCGAGAGTCCAAAGGGCCTGTCTCAGGTTGGTAGAATAAGGCTCATAGATCCTGCCAGGCATCAAAGTAGAAACCCTGAGGCTGGACTTCTTCCTCTTCAGCAGGAAGGAAATAAAACCTTATTTGTTACTAAATACATAGGTAGTCTCATGTGTTGAACCATTATTTCCATCTTGAGTGCCCTTCGGCAGGGAAGAAGTCTGGCTCTAAGGGGGAACATACAAAAGAAGTTTCAGCCATGCCAAGACCCATGGGGTGAATTGCGGGACACCTCGCGTCAGAACAGACAGAATAACAGCCCAGATGTACCGCTTCTGTCATATATGAGGATGGGGGACTTAGTAGTGGGATTTGGCAACGCCCCAGTTATCCCTTAAGCATTTCATTTAGGTGAGATTCTAGTCCAAAGGAAGATGGCTTCATGTCAGTAGGAGGGATTACTATAGCCCCAATAAGATATTAAAAGAAGGACTGAGGAAACTAGAATTCCAGAATAGAATTCTGGAATATAGCATTCGGTCTATAGCATTCGGTCACTGAACAGATGTGGGCCACTCCCCTATGTATAGTCTCACAGTTTGTGGTCACTTTTATTTTTGAGTGTTTTACTTCAGGTCAGCAGAGTGGTAAGCGCTACCAGTGTGGGTACTGAAAAAGGAGAAAGTTGACTTTCTGTCCCAGAACAGAGGCGACACTGAGGGCAGGCGGGCTAGTGCTGAGGGTTTTGCTTACTGACTGCACTCTGAGGTGCCTCCTCCATTTTTCTCACAGAGACTCCGGGAATTTGGTCTGAGGTACATATCCTTGGGTCACAGCAGAGAAGGCCAAGGAAGTAGCAGGAATCCAGGTAAGGCCCTGTCCTGAAAACCAGGGTCTCCCTGACCCCAGAGCCCAACCCCACCCCATACCTCTTCTATACCTGAACCTCAGTGGGGGACAGCTACACCCCAAGAGTTTTCTCACTTCTTCCTTCGGGTTCTCAGGGCCCAGATTCCCCAGAGGACACAGGCCCTCTGAGACAGACGGGATGTACCACTCTGTATGTCTCCTTGATCAGTGCCCCCAAGGGCAGCTACAGATACTTCTCTCCCCAGGCCCGTGTGTACTCCTGCCGGCGGCCACAACACTAATCATGCCACCAGCTCGGAAACGACGGCGCGGCATGACTGAGGAAGACCCAATGGAGACACAGGACCCGGGAGACGCACAGTGGCACAGGATTGTGGAAGAGGATTTCTCCTCCTCTTCTTCCTCCACCTGCTCCTCCTCTTTCCCTTCCTCTTTCTCTTCCTCCATCATTTCCTCCTCCTCTTCTCTCTTTTCTCTGTTCGCAGACATCTCAGAGGTAGAAGCGGCTGCGGGGACAATCAGTCTTCCCCAGCCCCCTCTTGGGATCTGCCCCTCTCTCATGAGTGAGTCCCAGGAAGGGTATCCCAGCAGCCAAGAAGAGGCTCCAAGCACCTCTTCCCAGGCCCTGCTGGGTGCAGAGTTCTTGCCCAGAAATGCCATTGATGATAAAGTGGGTGAGCTGGTGGAGTTCCTTTTCCTCAAATACCGCAATAAGGAGTTGACCACCAGGGCAGAAATTCTGAGAACCGTCCTGACAGATTGCCAGGAGCTCTTTCCTGTCATCCTCAGCCAGGCCTGTGAGTGCATGCAGCTGATCTTTGGCATTGATGTGCAGGAAGTAGACCTGCAGGTCCACTCCTATGTCCTGACCAATACCCTGGGCCTCACCTACAATGACACTTTGAGTTCAGAGCAGAAACTCCCCAATGGTGGCCTTCTGATTTTTATCTTGACCAAAATTTTCATAGAGGGTAACCGTGCCCCAGAAGAAGGTATCTGGGAATCACTGAGTATGATGGGAGTACATCCTGGGAAGGAGCACTTCATCTTTGGGGAGCCCAGGAAGCTCCTCACCAAAGTGTGGGTGCAGGAACAGTACTTGGAGTACCTGCAGGTGCCTGGCAGCCACCCTGCCTGCTATGAGTTCCTGTGGGGCCCCAGAGCCTATGCTGAAACCAGCAAGATGGAAGTTCTAGAGTTTTTTGCCAGGATCAGTGATAGTAACCCCAGATCCTTCGAAGTGTGGTATGAGGAGGCTTTGAGAGAGCAGGAAGAGAGAGCGCATGCTAGACTTTCTACCACAGATGATACTCCCGCAATGGCCTGCACAGATACTAATGCCATGACCAGTGCAGGTTTTAGCGTCTAGCCAGTAGATTTTCCTGTGTGAAATTCAACACAGAGTATTGTAAGATGGCAGTGTTATAAGTAACCAAGAGCCAGGCTTCACTCCATGAGGCTATCATAATGAGGCCATCTTTGTGTTCCTTTTCCCTAAGGGTGACTTTAAAATGAATCTCCTTGGGGCCAGAGAGATAGTACAGTGGGTAGGGCACTTGCCTTGCATACAACCTATCAGTTTGTGAATGACATTGTTTACATAAATACTGCTGTTTATCTAGTTTAAGAGCAAGAGTTTTGCTGGTTTGTGGGCCTGAGATATAGTACAGAGGATAGGGCATTTGCCTTGCATTTACCTGACCCAGGTTCGATCTGTGACATCCCATATGGTTCCCCTAGTCCACCAGGAATGATTCCTGAGTTCAGAGCCAGGATTAATCTCTGAACATCCCTGGGTGTGGCCCAAAAAACAAAAAAGAATTTTTGCTGGTTTGTCTAAAAGTTGGAAATTTTTCCCTCTTACCTATTGCCTGTGATAAGATAACCTGTCTTGAATAGAAATGCCCTTGGAAGTGTAAAAGAGCTTAGTGTTTTAGTTTATCTCTATGAAAAATTACATATAAGTGTATGTGTTTATTGTTTTTGCTTATTTAAGACTGTAGGAGATGTTAAATAGTAATAAATGAGTTTTTCTGTTCATGGACTGATTTCATGCAAACTTAGCCTCTGCTCTTCAGAAGTCCCTGTGTTACTAGTAGCGCCAATCAGACACACCTGATCATAGTGTAATAGTATGTGTAAAAGACTAATATAAACATTCTTATAAAGGAGATGGTAAGAATTCCCCTAAGACCCACAGAACAGGTAAAGGAGAGCTTTCAAATACAAATAGCCCACATTCTGTTCGGGCAGTTGGAGCTTTGGGAACTTGATTCCTTCTGTAAGAGAGAATTTTCATTACACTGAATGGCAGGAGTGACTGGACTCTCAGATTTTGTGACTTAGAAGACAGAAACCTGGACAGAAATACTTCTCTTGGAAGTTAAATACTACTCTTCTGAGTCATGGATAGACTAGAAAGAAAACTCCGCGGGATACAGGGAGTGAATTTGTCCTGTCTTCTTTTTGTGTTGTTTTGTTCTGGGGGCCCCACCTGGAGGTGCTACAGGCTTCTGGCTCAGTTTCAGGAATCACTCCTGATGGGGTTTGAGGGACCATAAGAGGATTGAACTGAGTTGGCTGGGTGCAAGGCGAGCTCCCTACCTGCTATACTGTCATGCTAGTCCCTCTCCTGCATTCTTGTCTTAGTGCTCTTGAGCAAAGTATAAGAAGTAGGTATTTTATTTACACCCACAGTCTGTAGAACTTCCTGAGAATTAAGGGTGGATGGTTTGTGAGTGACCATCACTATCACCCTTTTAACTTGACGCCGGAGATCCAGAGCCAATTCCATTAAAACACTTTCATTAGATTAACTTCAGAGTAATTTGGCTAATTCTAGGCAATGCACAGATTTTGTAGAGGGTAAACAAATGAAAATAGTGATTTCGATGGAAAAGCGGCTGGGAGGAAAAGGCGGATGAGGTCTTTGACAAATTCTGGGATGTTTTTAGTTTCATCAGGCTTGGAAGACTCCCAATACCCAAATCAAATATTTTTTCCTTTAAGAAGGAAATGATGGAGTTTTAGTTACAAAGGAGCATCTCTGGCAGATATGATAGTCCACATCCTGGTGGATGAGCTGCATATTATTGGAAATATTATAGATAACAACCAAAGACCTTCAGACTAGTGGGTAGTAGGTTCTGTGGTCAAAAGAATTCTAGAAATAATTGCCAGTGATTAAAGACTGAAACAGAGACCATACAAGGTGCTCTGCCTACCCGCACTCTAAACCTTCCTGAGTCACACAGCAGGGCTTCCCTGTTCCTTCACAAGGAAGAACCTGCTTGGACTTGCTCATTTCCAAGTTCATCTGGCTGGTCACGGACAGGCCAGGGTCTAAACCTTGAGTCTGACTTCATAGAGAATCCAGGCTGTTGCTCTCATCCACGCTGATGACTCACTTGATGACTTGTAATTCACTTCTCACTCCTCAGGTGAGTAAACGATACCATGGTTAAGGTTTTTGTTCAACTCAGCAGAATTAAAGGAAGGTGGCATAACACATTCCAAGTCCCTGTGAAGTCCCCTGGCTGCCCTTTCGCTTCACCTTCTAATGTAACAGCTCTTTGACATAAAAGTTGACATTGGACAAGAGATGATCAAACTTCAGGTCATGCTCCCTGGGTATCTTCAGTAAATTTCTTTTTGTTTTGGTTGATGGTCTCATTTAGCTGGAAACCTTCCAGTCTCTTGGCTTGAACCCCAGCTCTGGAGAGTTGTTGAAGGCATCCAGATATTTACAGTATAATTTTTATGTATCCTATTTGAAAGCCCCTGAGCACCACCACCACCTGTGACACCCTGAAACAAAATCAAGTAAAATTTTAAAATAATTATCAACCATTTAACTGGATTTATTATTTTTTTGGATATTTTTGTGACACAGGAAAATAATCATCTTTGGTGTGCTTAATGATTCTCGTAAATGTTCAGATATGTTCGGGCACATTGAGAGTAGCGGGTGGTCTCAAAGGGAGTGGAGAAAAGAGCTCTGAGGTGGATATGGGGTATCCTATTTGAAACTGACCACCGAGCACAGAAACAGATGGATCAGCTCATTCAGGAGGGCAGAGACAAAAGACATCTTATTTAATTTTTAATTTTTTATTAGTGAATCACTGTGAGGTACTGTTACATACTTACAAACGTTCGTGTTTGCACTTCAGTCATACAATTATCGTTTACCCATCTATCCACCAGTGCCCATTCTCCACCACCAATGGTCTCAGTATCCCTCTCACCCCCATTCCCTCTCCCACCCCACCCCTCCTCTGTGGCAAGGCATTCCCTTTTGTTCTCTTTCCTGTTGGGGGCACTGTGGTTTGCAATAGAGGTATTGAGTGTCTATTGTGTTCGGTCTATAGCCTATTTTTGGCAGCTCCAAACCCAGGCGTGTCCTCCCAACAGCCTTTACTTGGTGTTCCCTTCTCTGTCTGAGCTGTTTTTCTCCAGCATGTGAGGCCAGCTTCCAAGCCATAGGGGAAACCTCCTGGTCCTTATCTATACTATTCTTGGGTGTTAGTGTCCTATTCTGTTACTTTATATTCCACAGAGGGCAGAGAGATAGTACAGTGGGTAGGGAGTTTGCCTTGCATGCGGCCAACTGGGGTTTGATTTCTCTGTCCCTCTCGGAGAGCCCGGCAAGCTACTGAGAGTAGCCCGCATGGCAGAGCCTAGCAAGCTCCCTGTGGCTTATTCAATATGCCAAAAACAATAACAACAAGTCTCACAATGGAGACATTACTGGCACCCGCTCGAGCAAATCGATGAACAATGGGAGGACAGTGCTAATATTCCACAGATGAGTGCGATCTTTCTATGTCTGTCCCTCTCTTTCTGACTCATTTCACTTAACATGATACTTTCCATGTTGATCCACTTATCTGCAAATTTCATGACTTCATCTTTTCTAACAGCTACATAGTATTCCATTGTGTAGATGTACTAGAGTTTCCTCAACCAGTCATCTCTTCTTGGGCAATCAGGTTTTTTCCAGATTTTTGCTATTGTAAACAGTGCAGCAATGAACATACAAGTGCAGATGTCATTTCTACTATCCGTTTTTGCCTCTCTGAGGTATATTCCCAGAAGTGGTATTGCTGGGTCAAATGGGAGCTCAATTTCTAACTTTTTGAGAACCCTCCATACTGTTTTCCAAAGGACTGAACCAGTCGGCATTCCCACCAGCAGTGAAGGAGAATCCCTTTCTCCCCACATCCATGCCAATACCTGTTGCTTTTGTTCTTTTGGATGTGGGCCAGCCTCTGTGGTGTGAGATGGTATCTCATTGTTCTTTTGGTCTGCATCTTCCTGATGATTAGTGATGTAGAGCATTTTCTCGTGTACCTTTTAGCCATTCTGATTTCTTCTTTGAAAGAGTTTCTGTTCATTTCATTGCCCCATTTTCTGATGGGGTTGGATGTTTTCTTCTTGTGGAGTTCAACCAGTGCCTTGTATATCCTTAATATCAGCTCTTTATCAGATGGGTATTAGGTGAATATCCTTTCCCATTCTGTGCATTGTTTTTGTATTCTGGTCACTGTTTCTTTAGAGGTATAGAAGCTTCTGATTTTAAGATAGTCCCATTTGTTTATCACTGTTTCCATTTGCCTGGCCAGTGACATCTTTGAAGATACCTGTAGCTTCAATGTTGTGGAGTGTTTTGCCAACCTTGTCTTCAATATGCCTTATGGATTCTGGTCTGATGTTTTTGTTGGTTTTTAAGGTCACACCTGGCGATGCACAGGGGTTACTCCTTGCTCATGCACTCAGGAATTACTCCTGGTGGTGTTCAGGGGACCATATGGGATGCTGGGAATCGAACCCAGGTTGTTCGTGTGCAAGGCAAACGCCCTACCCGCTGTCCTATCACTCCAGCCCCTTTTGGTCTGATCTTAAGGTCTTTAATCTATTTTGATCTGACTTTTGTGTATGGTGTTAGGTAGAGGTCTGAGCCCATTTTTTGCATGTTGTTGTCCAGTTTTGCCAGCACTATTTGTTGAAGAGGCTTTCCTTGCTCCACTTCACATTTCTTGCTCCCTTATCAAAGATTAGATGATCATATATTTCAGGGTGTGGGTCAGGATAGTCAACCCTGTTCTATAGGTCTGCTGTTCTGCCTTTGTTCCAGTCACTGTCTCTGTCACTGCCCTCCCATTGTTCATTGATTTGCTCGAGCGGGCCCAGTAACGTTTCCACTGTGACACTTGTTACTGTGTTTGGCATATTGAATACGTCACGGCTAACTTACCAGGCTTTGCCGTGTGGGTGAGATACCCTCGGTAGCTTGCTGGGCTCTCAGTAGCTTGCCAGGAATTAAACCTGTACAGTTTTAATTATTATCGCTTTGTAGCAGAGTTTGAG